TCCATCCTCATAACTTTTCAGGATCAATGTTTGAAGGAAAACGACTCCAATAAAAGTTGTAGGAAACAAAGGGGGCTATCTAATAGTGACCTTGGATTTGACATTAAAGGTCATTTTCAAGGTCATTTGAAGGACAACTTCCGTTTTTTAAATGGGGACCCCTATTTTTTATTGCATATTGTTGTAGCTTATCTCGAGAGTTTTTCAAAACACTATAATAAAGTATTTTTTCATTAAGTACTTTTTGAGTTATTTTATATTTTAATCTGACATATTTTGATATAAAAAATAAAATATCTCGTAAAATATTTAGTTTTCGATAATCTTACCGTAATACTTTTATGTACAGAATAATGAGACAAATCAATTAGTGTAAAGAAAAAAACAAATAATTGTTTACACTCAATCTTCTAACACGGTAGCAGTATGAAATCATTACTGCTTCAAGAGATACGGCAAGTTAGTAAATGAGCATTGACCATTCCATTACAGATCACAAGATTCTATTAGCGGAGACCATAATATTGAACTCTCGCTTAAAAGATTCTCATGCTTTGTAATAGATTCCTTTTTAACATTCGGTGCACGTTGGATCTGTGTGTGGTTTCCAAATTAATATCCATTATTGTTACCTGCTAAAATAAAAATAAATAAGATATGATATTAATACATACGAATTTAAAACATTTTCCTTTGTATAATAATCTTACCTGTATAATTGTTATTACCGCAATTCAATCCTTTTTTTCAATTTAATAGAAAATACACAATATTTATATTATTATTTCATAATGTAGTTGCACAATCCCAGTATCGCTGATGTACTTCATTATTGCTTCAACAGATATTGCAAGTTGATGAATAAGCGTTGATCATTCCATTACAGATCACAAGATTCTATTAGCGGAGACTATAATATTGAACTCTCGCTTAAAAGATTCTCGTGCTTTGTAATAGATTGCTTCTTGATATTCAATGCAAGCTGGATCTATGTGTGGTTTGCAAATTATTTTATACATTATTGTCGTCTGCTAAAATCAAAATAAACATGATGTAATGTTAATAGATATGACTTTAAATCAGTTTCCTTTGTACAACAATCTTACTCATATAACTGTCATCATCACAATTCAGTCTTTTTTCAATTTAATAGAAAACACACAATATTTACATTATTATTTCATAATGTAGTTGCACAATCCAAGTATCGCTGATGAACTTCATTATTGCTTCAACAGATATTGCAAGTTGATGAATAAGCGTTGATCATTCCATTACAGATCACAAGATTCTATTAGCGGAGACTATAATATTGAACTCTCGCTTACAAGATTCTCGTGCTTTGTAATAGATTGCTTCTTGATATTCAATGCAAGCTGGATCTATGTGTGGTTTGCAAATTATTTTATACATTATTGTCGTCTGCTAAAGAAACACGCGAGGTTAAGTTAAGATAATTGTACCTTGTTGCAACATTTAAGAATTTGTTGTACATTCTTATGGTATCCAAACACTTTCACGCAAAAAATGCTTATTCAATTCAACTTCAGTAAGATCAGAAAATCTAAAAAACTTACAAATATTGAATAAGCGTTGATCATTCCATTACAGATCACAAGATTCTATTAGCGGAGACTATAATATTGAACTCTCGCTTAAAAGATTCTCGTGCTTTGTAATAGATTCCTTTTTAACATTCGGTACACGCTGGATCTGTGTGTGATTTCCAAATTAATATCTGTTATTGTTACCTGCTAAAATAAAAATAAATGATAAGATATGATATTAATACATACGAATTTAAACATTTTCTTTTGTATAATAATCTTACCTGTATAATTGTTCTTACCACAATTCAATCCTTTATCAATTTAATAGGAAACACACAATATTTATATTATTATTTCATAATGTAGTTGCACAATCCAAGTATCGCTGATGAACTTCATTATTGCTTCAACAGATATTGCAAGTTGATGAATAAGCGTTGATCATTCCATTACAGATCACAAGATTCTATTAGCGGAGACTATAATATTGAACTCTCGCTTAAAAGATTCTCGTGCTTTGTAATAGATTCCTTTTTAACATTCGGTACACGCTGGATCTGTGTGTGATTTCCAAATTAATATCTGTTATTGTTACCTGCTAAAATAAAAATAAATGATAAGATATGATATTAATACATACGAATTTAAACATTTTCTTTTGTATAATAATCTTACCTGTATAATTGTTCTTACCACAATTCAATCCTTTATCAATTTAATAGGAAACACACAATATTTATATTATTATTTCATAATGTAGTTGCACAATCCAAGTATCGCTGATGAACTTCATTATTGCTTCAACAGATATTGCAAGTTGATGAATAAGCGTTGATCATTCCATTACAGATCACAAGATTCTATTAGCGGAGACTATAATATTGAACTCTCGCTTAAAAGATTCTCGTGCTTTGTAATAGATTCCTTTTTAACATTCGGTACACGCTGGATCTGTGTGTGATTTCCAAATTAATATCTGTTATTGTTACCTGCTAAAATAAAAATAAATGATAAGATATGATATTAATACATACGAATTTAAAACATTTTCCTTTGTATAATAATCTTACCTGTATAATTGTTCTTACCACAATTCAATCCTTTATCAATTTAATAGGAAACACACAATATTTATATTATTATTTCATAATGTAGTTGCACGATCCCAGTATCGCTGATGTACTTCATTATTGCTTCAACAGATATTGCAAGTTGATGAATAAGCGTTGATCATTCCATTACAGATCACAAGATTCTATTAGCGGAGACTATAATATTGAACTCTCGCTTAAAAGATTCTCGTGCTTTGTAATAGATTCCTTTTTAACATTCGGTACACGCTGGATCTGTGTGTGATTTCCAAATTAATATCTGTTATTGTTACCTGCTAAAATAAAAATAAATGATAAGATATGATATTAATACATACGAATTTAAAACATTTTCCTTTGTATAATAATCTTACCTGTATAATTGTTCTTACCACAATTCAATCCTTTATCAATTTAATAGGAAACACACAATATTTATATTATTATTTCATAATGTAGTTGCACGATCCCAGTATCGCTGATGTACTTCATTATTGCTTCAACAGATATTGCAAGTTGATGAATAAGCGTTGATCATTCCATTACAGATCACAAGATTCTATTAGCGGAGACTATAATATTGAACTCTCGCTTAAAAGATTCTCGTGCTTTGTAATAGATTCCTTTTTAACATTCGGTACACGCTGGATCTGTGTGTGATTTCCAAATTAATATCTGTTATTGTTACCTGCTAAAATAAAAATAAATGATAAGATATGATATTAATACATACGAATTTAAAACATTTTCCTTTGTATAATAATCTTACCTGTATAATTGTTCTTACCACAATTCAATCCTTTATCAATTTAATAGGAAACACACAATATTTATATTATTATTTCATAATGTAGTTGCACGATCCCAGTATCGCTGATGTACTTCATTATTGCTTCAACAGATATTGCAAGTTGATGAATAAGCGTTGATCATTCCATTACAGATCACAAGATTCTATTAGCGGAGACTATAATATTGAACTCTCGCTTAAAAGATTCTCGTGCTTTGTAATAGATTCCTTTTTAACATTCGGTACACGCTGGATCTGTGTGTGATTTCCAAATTAATATCTGTTATTGTTACCTGCTAAAATAAAAATAAATGATAAGATATGATATTAATACATACGAATTTAAAACATTTTCCTTTGTATAATAATCTTACCTGTATAATTGTTCTTACCACAATTCAATCCTTTATCAATTTAATAGGAAACACACAATATTTATATTATTATTTCATAATGTAGTTGCACGATCCCAGTATCGCTGATGTACTTCATTATTGCTTCAACAGATATTGCAAGTTGATGAATAAGCGTTGATCATTCCATTACAGATCACAAGATTCTATTAGCGGAGACTATAATATTGAACTCTCGCTTACAAGATTCTCGTGCTTTGTAATAGATTGCTTCTTGATATTCAATGCAAGCTGGATCTATGTGTGATTTGCAAATTATTTTATACACTATTGTCGTCTGCTAAAATCAAAATAAACATGACGTAATATTAATAGATATGACTTTAAATCATTTTCCTTTGTACAACAATCTTACTCATATAACTGTCATCATCACAATTCAGTCTTTTTTTCAATTTAATAGAAATCATAATACTTAAAAATATTATGTGAATTATGAAAATATAATAATATTACTCACTTTTAATTATAATGTGCCTTGTTGCAAAATTTTTAGAATTTGTTGTACATTCCTATAATACCCAAACACTTTCACGAACCAAATGTATATTCAATGACATTTCAGTAAGATTAGAAAATCTAAAAAGCTTACAGATATATATTTTGAAAAACTATCAAAATGATAACTAGATATAAATATAATAATAGAAAGAAACACGCGAGGTTAAGATAACTGTCATGTACCTTGTTGCAACATTTAAGAATTTGTTGTACATTCTTATAGCACCCAAACACTTTCACGCAAAAAATGCTTATTCAATGACACTTCAGTAAGATCAGAAAATCTAAAAAACTTACAAATATCTTCTTCTTCTCTGTTTGGCTGTCAGACTTCCAAAGGGAATCGTCCATATACCATCTGCTAGATATACTGAAAGTATCGATAGTTAGATGTGCAACTTGTTCCTTATAGCGAAGTTGTATAAGATGCGGAATATCCTAGTGTTGTTTGTGAAAGCCAGTGTTGGTATGTCCAGAACTATGTCGGGAGTAATCCCATGCAACTGCGTAATGAGCAGATTCGAGTCGTCTTGCGAATTTGGGCAATGAAAGAAGATGTGGTTCATGTCCTGGGAAGGATGACCACACGAGCACTCCGAGGAGTCAGTAATGTTTTTTTTGAAGAGATGGTCTTTTGTTGACGTGTGATGGGATCTCAGTCTTGAGATAAAGGTAATAATTGGTCTCGGAAGATCCTCCTTAATATTTTTTTATTGGAGTACCACGGAGGTGCGAGAACGTCACGCACGTGGTTGAAATATCTTGCCCCTTTGTAATGACTTTCAGAAAGGATAGTTTGCGAAGCTCTACTTTTTGACAAAGCTTTGAACTTGGAATAGAGGTTGGTATAGTGACATTTACTAAGGAGGAAGGTGTCGGGAAGACGTAAAGATTCCTTGGCAAGGACGTCCGCCCTCTCATTACCGGGGATGCCCCTGTGACTGGGTATCCAGAAGATATGGACTTCAAACGCTTGCTTGAAGCATTCAAACAAAGATCTTTTGATTTTTAGAATTCCACAGTGCAATATGCCTGTCGACACCGGATTCTCGAGATTAGACAATACACTCAAGGAATCGGAAAAGATTACCGCTTTCCTTATTTTCTTGTTCAGAACAGTATCAACCGCATATTGTATGGCCAATGCTTCGGCCTCAGTACAGTTATTGTTAATTCTATTCTTATACTCCAAGTCGAGCTCCAGAGAGAACGCAGCGTAGCCAACTCTACCATCCGACTCGGTACGAGATCCGTCAGTATAAAATGTGTCATCAAACTCAAAGGAGGATGTGAGACGTTCAAAGGAGGAAACGGGATCAGGATCTGCCGCGACTTGGCGACCCAAATCCGTATTGATTGAAAGATCGTAATGTCTGCACTCGTACGGGAAGTCGAGGTAACCAGGCAAGTGAAAAGAGTCGATCTGCTCAAAGAGATCCGCGTGCGCGAAGTAAACGTCTAACAAGTTACAGATGTTATAATACTTTTCTCGATGTCCTGTTGGTCACGGAGATCAATTATTAGTTGTCTTAGCGGATGCGAGTACCGCACCATAGTTTTGGCCAAAAATCTGGAGGTGAGGCAAAACCAGCGCGAGTCCAGCGGAAACTCGCCGTTGATATCCAACAGAACGTTGGTAGGAGTGGTAATCATCATACCCGACACAATTCTTAGGGACGCGTATTGTAGGCGACTAACTCTCAAATAGAATTGTTCATTTAGTGGATTGAAGGATTGACATCCCCAGTCCAAAAGCGGTCTAATGAAGCCCTTATAAACATTGAGAAGATTCGAGTGGTGGGCACCCCATCTAATGCCCGCCATAGCCTTGAGAATATTCACTCTGGGCATTATGCGATTCCTCAGATGATTGACATGTGCTTTCCAATTGAGCTCGGAGTCCAAGACGACACTCAAGAAACGTGACGTCGAGGAGAACCGAATATTCCCATTGCCTACCCTTAAAAAGAAATTATGTTCATTCATGAGTATGCGGAGATTTCGTGGTTTGAGCGTTGAGAAAATCATATAGCTAGATTTAGAAGGAGAGATGCCGAGACCCAGACAGGTAAAAAACCGAAACAAGCCATCCAAAGCATTGTTCATCTGATCCTTGATAAACTCTAGTTGACCGTCAGTGCAGTAAATTGCGATGTCGTCTGCGTAATACAATATCTTTACGGAGTCAGGTAGAACAGAATGCGAGAAGGCGATATACAAGTTGAATAATATGGGGCTGAGAATGGAGCCCTGAGGAAGACCAATAGTGGTATCACGATTCTGCAGGTTGATACCCGCGGCGAAACCTATGAGGTGCCTACCGGAAGTCAAGGCCTTGATGAATTTCAGAATCTTAAGAGGGAGACCGAATTTAGCGAGCAGGGTTAATAGGATCTCCGGGCGAACCCTGTCAAAAGCCTTCTCGATATCTAGAAATGCTACACCAGTAAACTTACGGGATTTGTTAGACATTTGGATGCTCGTAGTCAGAGTGGAAATGCTATCAGTACAGGAAAGTCCCTTCCTAAAGCCGAATAGGATTTGCAGAAGAGGGAGCCCCTCTCTGCCCACCATTCGATTCTCCTATGTATTAGCTTCTCGAATATCTTTAGCAAGTTATTGGCCAATGATATAGATCTTAACGAGTCCCTGCGACCAGGCTTGGGTATGAAGACGACAAAGTACTCCCTCCATTGATGAGGGTATTCGCCCTTATTGAAAATCAAGTTGAAAATCTTCAATATTAGAAAATCAAATACGTCTGCAAATTTTTTAATTATTTTATTGCATATAAGATCAGGACCAGATGAGGTTTTAATTTTTAACGAGGAGATAGCTTCATAATATTCCTGTTTCGAGAACGGCATGAGGAAGAACTCCCCACCGCAATTCGTATCAAAGTCCGGCAGATCAGATATTAGGCTCTGCATATCAGGTGTGGGGCTAAGGACAGGAGGGGCCAGCTTATTAAAAGCTTCAAGAAATACGTTCTCAAATATGAGAGAGTGAGGAGAATTATTGGAGTTTCTATTGGATGATTGCATAAGTTCGTGCCCGATTTTCACAGATGGCATTAAGTTACTGCATGGCGGAGTTCTATTGTTTTCGTGTGGTAATTGTTGCTTACACCGAATAGATGACATTGTCTTATGTCAATTTAGCGTCAGACATTGTTCAGATAAGTCCATTTGTGCATAAGAGAAATCATTAAAAAGGGAGAACGAAAAGGTGCATTTGCGGCATGTAATGTTACATGAATTTCGGAAAGGCGTGAGTGTTGGGACTGCACAAAAAAATATTCAAACCGTTTATTTAGACCGCGCTCCTGCTCTCCGAACAGTCAAAAAGTGGTTTGGCAGATTTCGAAATGGTGATTTCAACATGGAGGATCAACCCCGCTCTGGACGGCCTTCTGGCATTGATGATGACATTGTGCATGCCTTAGTGGAAAGAAACCCAAGGATTACAACTGAGGATATTGCTAAGAGGCTGAACATCGATAATTAAACCGCTTTTCGTCATTTAAAAAAACTTGGATACGTTTCCAAGCTTGATACATGGGTGCCGCATCTCCTGACTGAAAGGAATAAGCTAAACCGTATGACTGTGGCTCTTTCTCTTCTCGAGCGTAACAAAAAAGAGCCTTTTTTAGATCGAATGGTAACAGGCGATGAAAAGTGGATTCTCTACAAAAACGTACAGCGAAAGAGGACATGGAAAACAGCAGCTGAAGGAGCAGAACCCGTAGCAAAGGCTGGCTTGCATCCGATGAAGGTGTTGCTGTGTGTTTGGTGGGATCGCAAGGGAATTATTTACTTTGAGCTGCTCCGACGCGGCGAAACAATCACGGCGGACAAGTACTGTGAGCAACTAACTAGACTCGCTGCAGCTATTCGAGAAAAACGTCCGATTTTGGCCAATCGAAAAGGCGTCATCTTCCACCACGACAATGCTAGGCCACACGTCGCTCAACAGACGCTGCGAAAACTGCAGGAGTTGCAAGGGGAAATTCTGCAGCACCCGCAGCAACCGATATTCTCCAGATATTGCGCCTTCAGATTTTTATCTGTTCCGGTCTTTGCAGAATAGTTTAAATGGCAAGAATCTCAATTCCGAGGAAGCTGTCGAAAACCACCTTACAAACTTTTTTCAAGAAAAAACAAGTTCTTTCTTCAAAAATGGAATCGACAAGCTTATAGATCGTTGGAAAACCATTGTAGAAAAGAATGGAGACTATATAATTGATTAATAAAAGTGTTATCTCTAAAATATAATCTATTGAAGTTTATATTTAAATCGGGCACGAACTTATGCAATCACCTGATATAAAAGTATATAAATCTTGCTCGATATTTTTCTTGATATAAAAATTTTTATCTTATTGCAAGACATCCTGCATAACTATCCGGGAACTTAGAGAAAAATTTCTCTAAAAATGGAAGAAAAGTTCTTTAAGAAATCTATGGAAATACTCGGAATCGTACTCCATGCTGAGAAAGCAAAAGTTTCCGTTAACACTTTTAATACATCAACGGGGATGAAGCATTTAAAAATCCGAGATAAAAACACCGCGAGTCGGACGAGCGCTTTATTTTATCTCGAATTACTGTTTCGAGTTGAGCAGACCGCGGAGAAGAGACAATTAAAACTTTAAACTGAAATAGCACCACCGTCACCGTCACTTGGACAAACTGAATTCTTCGGATGGTGGAAAGCTTTCTTTAGTTGGAGCAACAACTCGCTCAAAGAAAACTTTTCGCGATGATTTAAAACGTTTCATCGATGTACTTTTAAAAGTACTTATGTATTACGATCTACATATCGAGATCATCATTATCTCAAAAACTTATATAATAAGAATATGAGAATTATTGGAGTTTCTATGATATTTGAGAAGGCTCTGATATACTTGCATACGGCAGAGATTGGCGTATTCATATTCAAAGAAGAGCAGAACTCACGAAAGGCGAGTTTCCTCTTCTTCCTGAAAAACCTTGATGAGTATTTTCTAAATTCAAGAAGTTCCGTTAAATTGTCTAATGAGGGGGATTGTTTAAATCTTCTAAAGATTATATTCTTTTTAGAAATCGTTTCCTTGCACTCATCATCCCACCATACAGTAGAAGGTTTTTTCCTGGTGTTATTGGACGGAAACTTCCTTGCACCAGATATCAAGAGTGCCTGGTGGATAAAATTGATTAGGTTATCATAAACCGCATCCAAATTGATGCCAAAGTTGTGTGTTTGGTTTGCGTATTTAGAGCATTCAAGTTGAAACCTGGACCAATCGGCCTCAGACGTGACGAAGGAGGGGCGGCCAAATGAAGGAATAGTATTATCATTGGTGAATGAAACAATGATGGGGAAATGGTCGCTGCCGTAATTGTTTTCGAGGACGCTCCAGGAGCATCTTGATGCGATAGATGGAGAGACCAACGTTATATCAAGCGCCGAGGTGGATGAGAGATCCGCGGAGGCCCACGTATAGTTCCCATCGTTGAGACATGAGAAATCAAGTGAAAAAACAGCATTTTCAAGTTTGCGACCCTCCGTGTCTGGGCCTAGCAGGCCCGAAGACCACAGGGCACTCTTCCCGTTCACGTCACTACATACCATGGTAGGATTAAAGCCGGAGAGATACTGAAATACAGAATGCCAGGCACAAGACTCAGTGTATGAATAGTTGCCACCACGCGGGGGACTGTAGAGTGAGCAGACGTATATAAATTTTTCCATGCCCAGCCATACTTTACCAAAGATAAACTCGATGTTATTGCGACCACAGATGAGGTTTATGTTATCGTCTGTAATTTGAGTGAATCTAAGTCTCTTATCGATGAGTATGGCAACTCCCCCACCGTAACGATTTCGATCATGAGAGTAAATATCAAAGTTATTAACAATAGGACGAAAGTGTTCCTCTAATCTAGTCTCGCAAAGAGTGGCGATATTGATGTTATTATCTAATAGAAAAGAAAGTTCAGGATTTCTCCTATGCATGGAGCGACAGTTCTGGAAAAGGTTAATGCTCATCATATGCATTGAGCGTTAGAGAAGGAGATGTTATAACAGTGTATCAAGAGAAAAGGGAGTTGTTCAGAAGAAGAACTCCCATCTGTGTTAGAATGTCTGTTTGTATAGTCTTGACCGCAGAAAACTTGTTTTGGCAGTCGAGAACCCAGTTTTTCAAAATATCTGGGTTAGAGTTGGGACCAAGAATAGGCGTGTTGTGATCGCTGGCCGAGGGGATATGTGTTGAATTGAAGGGACGATTGTTGATAGTTGTATTATTGCTAGAGCAAATATTAATGTCTGTGTCCTGAGTAGAGGTGAAAGTGAAGGGTGATGGAAAAGTGATAGGAGGTTTAGTTAACGAGGAGTTAGGCGCTTTACGTTGCGGTCCAACATCATGCTCTTTATGTTCTTTGTGATTAGCAGATGTTATAGCGGAGAAGTTATTTGTCGTGTACGGGGGCTTGGCGTTAATAGGCAAGCGTTTCTTATTAACCTCCGATAAAGGAGGAGAAAAATTCAAGCCTTAGAGCGGTAATCTCTAGAGACCGCTTCGGCATAGGATTTGTGTAGAGCGTAGGGAAGGAATTTCCCAAGAGTAGGAAGACGATGCGAGAACCGATGGTTCTCATCCACCGAATGTGATCGGGGGTCAGAGCCCTCGAGCCATGTGATTGCTTCGGACTGAGATATGTTATGGTATGCCATAAGCTTCTTGATTTTTCTTTGTTTTTGGAAGACAGGACAGGAGTTGGAGGATGCCTCGTGATCAGCAATGCTATCAGGCAGCTTATATCTTTTACAGTTAACGCATGACAGTTTTTCAGCCGTACATGTCTCGTTAACATTACTATTACAATCGTGGGATGATGTGAGCTTACCACAGCGCCGGCAAACTGCGTTCTTGTCCGGAGTTCGACAAATCCTTGCGACATGCCCAAATCGCTGACACTTTTGGCACCTTCTGACTTTCTCAATAAACGGTGTCAAATACAACCTCTTTCCCATATATATGATACTAGATGGGACTAATAATGTTCTGAAACGTATAATATATGAATCAGATTCGATATATTTAGTAGTGAAAGTTTTATCTGTGTTTTGTGAAGGGATAGATTTTTTTAATCTAGCAGCCTCAAATGGAGGCTGCCATAAGGCATTCCATTCCGGTGGTGGACGGACATTTTTAATTAATTCGCCAGGAGAGTCGTCATCATCGACGCCCCTGACTATAAACTGTCTAATAATTTTATAATTAGGCACATATGCTATCCATGTCCCTCTAGGAAAGATGGAAATAGATTTTTCGTTGAAAATGTCACAGAATTTATTAGCCGTATTACCATCGGTGAAAGTTACCGAGAATTTATTTTTGCCTATTGTTTTTAAATCGAATGCCGATAAGAAATTGTCAATATGTTTAGTAATACGTTTACCGAAAGCAATTATACCGTATGAGCCAGAGTTGGAACGCTGGCTATTGTTTGATGAGACGTTATCAAGGTTATCTATACCTGTTTTTATGTTGTTATTTATTTCTATAGCTTCGGAATCCAGCGCCTGTGAGGAGGGAGGAGGGAGGAGGCTCGTTTTTTCGATATGAATAATGAACGGAGGTTTGACATTGATACTGTACTTATTTTGTAAACGAGGATCGCGAACATTAAAAGAATCTAAGAAGGATCTTTTTGGAGGAAGAGGGCTTCTCAATGTGGAAGACTGGCTCCTTTTGCGATTGCGATGATATATGATGTCACGAACTTTTTCAGCAACATCCTTTTCGTTGCTCGTCCCAGTGGACTGAGAAGATTTTTGAGTAGAGCTTTCAAGATTATTCTCGTTATCTACTTCCATTATTATACACGTTGCACATTAGCTCTTGTGTGTGTTATGCGTATGAGCGTGGGTTTAATACGCAGTATTCGTCCAACGGACAATATGGCCGTGGCCACACTTACGTGGCGACTCGAGATATTTCAGGGCCAAGGAGGTTCAATGCGCGATGCTATGCGCGTCCCGCATGCAGCGGACCGCGATCAACCAAATGTCTCACACTAAGCCAGTATATGGCCCGCGGGTCACTTAATTGGCAAAATTGGCAAAATAACAATTACCACTAAGCCACGATGTTCACTCGCCGAGAGAACAAACGGAAGTCAACTTACAAATATATATTTTGAAACTATAAATGCGATCACACAAAATATAAATATAGAGAGAAACACGCGAGGTTAAGATAACTGTCATGTATGCAGTAGGTAATATAGAGCGCGTTCCGTTTCATGCATTGAGCGCATAGATCGCCTGGAAATCTATAATATATGTTACGTGAACTATAGATATCCAGGCGATCTATGCGCTCAATGCGTGAAATGGAACGCACTCATAGGCTATGCTACGGTTGGAAAAAAACTACAGATGTTCCGAAACACAGCATTAACCAATTATGACAAGGAAATTTTATAATTTTTTAATCTCAATGCTATTGAAATTACGCCATTAATATTTTACGAATTGTGTCTTTTTCTAAGTTGTGATCATTATAAAGGCGGAACAGCCTTATATAACATCGAGATTTCGGCCCGCTATATCGCTTTAATAATCGTAATGTTTTTAATTTTAAAATTTTAATGCGTCAATCCTTGTAGCGGAGATCATATAGAATAATGTCTTTCTCAAATAGTATTGATATCTTCAACAGTAGACGAGATGTAAGCGAAGAATGTATCTGACGCAAATGATTTCGGCAAAAGCGTCGCGATTTCGGCCCGCTTTATCGCTTTAATAATCGTAATGTTTTTAATTTTAAAATTTTAATGCGTCAATCCTTGTAGCAAAGATCATGTAGAATAATGTCTTTCTCCAATAACATCGATATCTTTAACGATGGACGAGATGTAAGCAAAGAATGTGTTAGACGTGAAGAACCCAGGCAAAAGCGTCACGATTTCGGCCCGTTGTATCGCTTTAATAATCGTAGCAGCTTTATTAATTTTAAAATTTAATGCGTCAATCCTTTTAGCGCAAATCATGTAAAATAATGTCTTTCTCTATTAACACCGATATTTTTGGCGGTAGTCGAAATCAAGTAGAAAAATTTATATTGCACGAGAGATATTGGCGATAATGTAAAAAATTTCGTCGCGCTATCATGTTTTAAGAATCATAACTATACAACTTTTAACACTTTAATACCATAATTTCAACAATACAAAGCATGGAAAAAATGCAGTCATTGAACGACATTGGTTTCTTTAGCGATTGCGGTGTTTTAAACAGAAGTTATCTATTATCGCCGATGCTCTTTCTGAATAACGTATTTTAATTTATGCAAAAAATAAATCTATATATAAATAATAAAAATATTCTAACAATCCTTTTTTCTATGACTGCGGTCGATAAGAGATTAGTCGATATAGATGCTGAATAATATTTTGGTGGTTGGTCAATGAGATTAAAAAATTATAAAATTTCCTTGTCATAATTGGTTAATGCAGTGTTTCGGAACATCTGTAGTTTTTTTCCAACCGTAGCGTAGCCTATATTACCTACTGCATACATGACAGTTATCTTAACCTCGCGTGTTTCTCTCTATATTTATATTTTGTGTGATCGCATTTATAGTTTCAAAATATATATTTGTAAGTTTTTTAGATTTTCTGATCTTGCTGAAGTGTTATTGAATAAGCATTTTTTGCGTGAAAGTGTTTGGGTACCATAAGAAGTACAACAAATTCTTAAATGTTGCAACAAGGTACATGACAGTTATCTTAACCTCGCGTGTTTTTTCTATTATTATATTTATATCTAGTTATCATTTTGATAGTTTTTCAAAATATATATCTGCAAGCTTTTTAGATTTTCTAATCTTACTGAAGTGTCATTGAATAAACATTTTGTTCGTGAAAGCGTTTGGATATTATAGGAATGTACAACAAACTCTAAAAATTTTGCAACAAGGCACATTATAATTAAAAGTGAGTAATTTTATTATATTTTCATAATTCACATAATATTTTTAAGTATTGTGTTTTCTATTAAATTGAAAAAAAGACTGAATTGTGATGATGACAGTTATATGAGTAAGATTGTTGTACAAAGGAAAATGATTTAAAGTCATATCTATTAATATTACATCATGTTTATTTTGATTTTAGCAGACGACAATAATAAATAAAATAATTTGCAAACCACACATAGATCCAGCTTGCATTGAATATCAAGAAGCAATCTATTACAAAGCACGAGAATCTTTTAAGCGAGAGTTCAATATTATAGTCTCCGCTAATAGAATCTTGTAATCTGTAATGGAATGATCAACGCTTATTTATCAACCTGCAATATCTGTTGAAGCAATAATGAAGTACATCAGGGATACTGGGATTGTGCAACTACATTATGAAATAATAATATAAATATTGTGTATTTTCTATTAAATTGAATAAAGGATTGAATTGTGGTAATAACAATTATACAGGTAAGATTATTATACAAAGGAAAATGTTTTAAATTCGTATGTATTAATATCATATGTGGGTAGGTACGGGATAGCAGATCTATCGCTTTAGGATACTACCCAACTTATCTTACTTGTAGGTAGATAAATGAATGAGTCGGCTTTTTAAACATAAAGTATATTTATTCCTACTCTTACATCAATAACGCAAATTGCGATTGCACGCATAATTGTCATTGTTATTAATTCTGTACATGGGCTTGTATTTGCCCCCGCGTCTCTTCGTCTGGGTGGAGGCGTCGGCCGTTCTCTTCAGACCAGGAAACTTGGACGGGACTGGTCTGAGTTCCACAATGTCTCCTCCTAAGGGGTTCCCTTATTGGCAAGATTTTGATGGGCGAAATCAGCGGTGGTAGTTTCCACGTCTTCGCTGGGGACGCCAAGATTCGCTCTAGTTGTAGCAAGGAGATAGGCCGGTCCTTCCTTCGCTGGTTTCTCTCCGCGTGGGAAATGCTGGGTGACTGGGCGCCGGAGCGTGCGTTCTCCTTGGAATGGCCACTGAATGGTGGCCAGAGGCCGGAGACCTCCGGCGAATCAGCACCAATGGGCGACAGTGACCCGTCACTGACCGTCACTGACCGTGATCGGAGAGCAGGTACCGGCAATCGTCGGGGAGCAGGTCCCAGTGGAAGACGGCGACCGGGCGCCTGATGATGGCGGACGAGCGCCGGAGGCTGTTGGTGATCGGGCGTCTAAAGCCCGAATCACACTAGCGGCTTGCGGCTGCGATTGCGATTGCGTTAGTGATTTGCTACGCTCCAATCATACTTGCAATTGGTGCTTTCTGATTGTCTGAGGCAATCGCAATCGCAGCCGCGAGCCGCTAGTGTGATTCGGGCTTAACGCCGATGGCGGCCGGGCGCCGGATGACGCTGGCGATTTGGCGCTGGATGATGGCGGACGAGCGCCGGAGGCGGATGACGATCGGGCACTTAACGTCGATGGCGGCCGGGCGCCGGATGACGCTGGCGACTTGGCGCCGGATGATGGCGGCCGGGCGCCGGAGGCGGTTGGCGATCTGGCGCCTAATGGTCGGGAGCTGCTTGTCCTTAGCGTGCTCTCCTCCACCTTCCTTCTCTTGATCACCGGTGGAGTGGCGTCGGGCGAGTCCTTCGCCGGAGGGCGATTTCTGCTACCGTGGGTAGCGTGACGGTATCTTTTATCCGTGGCGTCTTGAATGATGGTGCGGCGACCGGCGCCGTATTGTTGACCAACGTTTTTGAAGCGACTTACGCTAGAAAGTAGGCGACTGGCGCCATGAACTTTCTTCGTACTTTCTCCGCAGGGGGTCTGACCTATATTCCGGCCGGACGGCTTTCCACTTGCAGGTTGGCCCGGGCGCCTTGCGCCGCCTAGCGGTGTTGCCCGCAACTACGCGCGGACGCGCTATATGCCCGCCGAACTGCTTTCCACTTCCATGTTGGCCCGAGCGCCTTACGCCGACTAGCATCTCCCGCACTACGCGCGGACGGGCGAGCGCTTGCGAGAAACGATAATATTTCGCGAATATCGCGCTGCCGTAATTTTGTGGTTGCTGTAGGCCGCCACATCATATCTCATCATTTATGTTTATTTTAGCACAGGTAACAATAATGGATATTAATTTGCAAACCACACACAGATCCAGCTTGCATCGAATATCAAAGCAATCTATTATGAAGCACGAGAATCTTTTAAGCGAGAGTTCAATATTATAGTCTCCGCTAATAGAATCTTGTGATCTGTAATGGAATAATCAACGCTCATTCATTAACTTGCAGTGTCTTGTGAAATAATAATGATTTCGTCTGGTTATGTTAGAAGATGGAGTAGCATTTGTATTGCTATTCAGTTAGTGAATAGATCTTCGAAGGCAGTGCTTTAGCATGCCATATCCAAATGCAGCATATTGTCTATTATCTATATCACAAAATAAAAATCTTACAATATTTTGCTCCTAACCGACTTCTCAATTTTACAGTTACATTGGAGTGTATATATGAATATACTATTTTTCAGAGAGATAATCCCATGTCAATGTGATAATTATATTTGTAATATTTATACATGAAAATCTACATTTATATACTGTCTCACATAATGCATATACATATATTCAAATATAATATTAGAATAGATATATTTATATATTTGTATATCGATGTCTTTCGTATGGTATGCTGCTGTAAACAATTAAGAACTATACTGTACTCTTTCGCACTTAAAATCTCACGATGCCCTGACATATGTGTGCATAATGTAGAAAAACACCCTGTTAGAACTGAAAATATTTATTATTTATATATAGTTTTTTTGTTGTATACCTCTGTGTTTTACATATGATATACTGTCCGTAAACAATTAATAATTGTACAGTTGTTTTTTATACGTAAAATCTCAAGATGCCGTGACATACGTAAAATTTTAAGTGTGAAGGAGTACAATTATTAATTATTTATAGATAGTATATCAAACGTAAAATACAGATATATAAAAAAATTTATGTATGATTAATAAAAATATTCTAAGGCCCTGCGCACAATAGAGAAAATATTAGAAATAGGAATAAAATATTAAATATAAGGAGGATAATAATATATCTTCTCAAAAGCACAAATCTTACTACAAGCAAATCTTTGTTTAAAAAAGAATGTAATGCAATGCATTCAACTACTTTATATTTAGAGCTTAAAGTCATTAATTTGGAGCAATGACCAAGCGACGCGGTAGCGTCGCGACACCAAGTATATATAAAAATTCGTTCCAGCTTGTCAACGGTTTGCCTATGTACAGGGACCGCGTCATATCTTTGAATAAGATTGGTGCAGTCAATTCTGAAGTATGATAATCGTATACCAGAATGTGACACTTTTAGTTTTCATAAGATTCAGACTCTCACGTACGTACGTATGCACGCATACACGCAAAGCGATTTTGTCCCTCAAGGCGCGTTTGCAGCGCTCATGTATGATTTTATGCTTGAGTGTGCAAATACGCCTTGAGAGACAATGTGTATGTGCGTGCATACGTATATGATACGTATCAAGCGGTACACGGTAGCATCGCGACGTCGAGATATAATAACGTTATAAGGTTAATGTTCGCGACGTCAAGATATAATAACATTTTAAGGTTAATGTTATATTTGAATCTGCTGCAGAAAATATATTTGGTCCTATCGAATAAGTAGATTGAAATTTTGTATATACAGGGTGCGGCATTTATAGTGACGCGGGCATATTTTTCGCTGAATCACATGTAATATTATAATAGCATGTTGCAATACGAGATATATATTCATAAGTTTTATGAACATTATCAGAGAGAAATCACTGTTTTCTATGCATACATATTGAAAGACAGAAAGTCGAATTAAGTTTGATTTGTAAAAACTATATTTAATTATATGTTTGTGTAAAATAAAAAGAACAA